GTGGAAGCAGCAGCCTCTTTGGGCAGGCACACAGCCTGGGGCCAGTATGTCTGGAATGCAGGGTTTGACATGAAAGAGGAAAGCAGGGATCTAATCATGCAACTCATGCCAGTCATAGTAAAGAGTTTGGACTGTATCTTGAGCACAATGTGAAGTCACTAACAATTTTAAACATTTTTTAAAAAGATATCATCCGAACTGCTTAAAAAAAAAATCTACCTGCAGACTAAAGAGTGAATTAGAGGCAAGCTAGACTAGGGGTGGAGAAATTAGATAGGAGGCCTTTATAATAATGTAAAAATAAGAGATTTGCAAAGCCCAGACTAATTACCATAGGATTAGAGAGAGATCTATATATTTCATAGATGTAAATGGGATACAATCCACAATGACTGATACATGATTTCATGTACGAGGTGAAGAATAGGGAGAAGTCAAGGCTGCCTCTCAGGTTTGTGGCTGGGCTGGTGGCAGAGTGATCAATTTTGGACATTCATCTGACAAATATATATTGAGCACAGGCTATAAGACTCACATTGTCTTGGATGCTAGGGAGACACTGGTGGACAGAACAACAGAGTCCTTGCTCTGCTGTGGCTTACTATCTTTTAACATGCTGAGACATTTCAGGTGGAAATGCTGAATAGCTGTCCTTAGCATTCTGGAAAATATCTCTGCTAAGGGGTGTCATTTGAAAGATCTCTTCCCTCATGTTCTGAAACTTTACTTGACACCAGTGTGGATCTAATAATCCCCAATCGAGGCACTGGGAATGCAGCCATGGACAAGTCAAAGCCTCTGCTCTAGAGAAAGACAATAAACAAAAACTCTATGATGTGTCAAGTGGTTATTAGTACTAAGAAGAAATACAAAGCAGGGTAAGGAGAGAGGGAGAGGCTGGTAGGGGTAAAAAGGAAGAGTCAGCTTGTCTCTCCCTTAAGGAAGGGAGGAACCGTGCCAACCACCAGAAGAGCCTCACAGACCCAGGGAACAGCAGGTACAAAACTAAGGCACTTGATGCATCCCAGGAACAAGCAGGAGGCCAATGCAGTTGAAGCTCAGTGAGCAGCAGGCAATGGTGTTGCAGACCCAATGGGGTTCAGATCCCATACAGCCTTGGAGACCACGATAAGGTCTTTGAACTTTCTTCTTAGTGAACTGGGAGACCACTGGAGATTTCTGAGAAGAGGGGTGAGGTGATCTGACTTAAGTAACTAAGGATCACTGGTTACTGGGTCAGGAAGAGACCTCACACAGGCTCAATCCAGATTATTCATACTAGATAGCTCACTCTAGGTGGTTATCAATTAAACATTTCTACCTCTGTCTGTTCCCCTTCCCTCTCTTCCTTTATAAGTCACTCGCCTTATAGTGTTGACCTGAAGAGCTGCCTTCGTAATTTAGGGGGCTCTTGTTTCAGAAGTGAACAGGGGTCAGATGGGGGCCCCAGAGGATGCAAATGGGTTCTAAACTCTAAATGCATATTACTAAGTGAGAGAAGCCAAACTGAAAAGGCTACATATGGTATGATTCCAACTATATTACATTTGGAAAAGGCAAAACTATGGAGACAGCAAGCAGATCAGCGGTTGCCGGGGGATAGTGGGGAGAGAGGGATAAATAATCAGAGCACTGAGGACTTTTAGGGCAGTGATGTACGATTCTGCAACGTTGGATGCATGTCATTAAACATTTTCCAAATCACAGAACGTACACCACCATTGCACAGAATGAACTGTAATGTAAACTGTGGACTTCAAGTGATAATGATGTATCAGTAGAGGTTCATCAGTGATAACAAAAACCCAGACCTCTGCGGTACAGGATGTTGAGAGTGGAAGTAGCTTGTGTGGGTGGGGCCAGAGGGTGTGTGGAGACTCTCTGTACTTTCTGCTCAGTTTTGCTGTGAATCTGAAACTGTTTTAAAAAAATAAAGTCTATTTAAAAGGAAAAAAGATGATGCCCAGACCCCATCCCCAAAGATTCAGATTTAACTGGTCAAAAGTGGGGCCAGAGTTTCAGTGTGATTTCATTGAAGCTCACCAAGTGATCCTGAAATACTGCCAGGTTAAGAACCACTGTGCCAAGTGAACATGTCAACCAAGTGTCGGGCAGATAAATCATTTCTGGCTTTGGGCTTTCATGCTGAATTCTAATTAAATTAGTATTTACACAGTTCTTTGTAATTCTCCACCAAAAGGCATTCATAACATTTTCCCCCTCTGTGGTACTAGCAAAATGCCAAGTAATCCCTCAACTGGAGGAAAATGGGAAATTAAAATTTCAAACTGCAAAATTAAGGCTGTAAGTTTATGGTTTGTTTATGCCTTAAAACAATACCTGTATTTCTTTTTGTCCTCATCCCCCTCTAAGGCTTAAAAACCTATCCATCTGCATCATAGCGGTACCCGAGGCTCAAAGAATGAACTGCAGCATCCATTCTGTCTTCCTACTATCAAAACTGAAGGACATCAGAACAACAACAAAAAATAATGATCACTAACCAAGGAACAAATGTAAGTACAGCAATGGATGATGGAGAGGTTTTGCTGGCCGAGGTGGGGACTGAGAGGAGAGGAGTGACAGATGGCGTGTGTTGATGTGCACAGGGCATGAGGGTTGTGGAACTTTTTTCTCTTCCAATTAGCCACGTCTTCCTTGACAGGGGAGGGTCTGAGAAACTGAGTCAGATGGTGCTTTGGAAGACTCTTCATCAGTCTTGACAGCTTGGCAGGATGAGTAAACTATTCACAACTTGCCTCTATACGCTGTGATGTGGCTGGCCTCAATCCACTGCATTTCCTCAGACTAAACTCCATATACACAGGAAAGAATAGCTAAGCATGAACTCTGAAACAAGCACCTTGATGTTGCATGTTCTCGTGATAGGAGTCTTTTAGGTCATCAAAGGATCCTGTTACTAATCAAGCCAAAACAACCTGTTGGCATGGTAACATTATTGATAACTTACATTTATTGAATACCTATTACGTATCTGGCTTTCTCTGGAGCATTTAATATAAACTATCTCGTTTAATTCTCATAACAACTGTATGACATAGGTATTATTTAAAGCCCCATTTTACAGATTAAGAGTAAATTTCCTATCGTCTGACTTCAGGGCTGGTCATCACTCAGCTATATCAGTGGGCATTCAGTGTGTGCGGCATGGTAATAGACATGATTCAATCTTGGAGAATATATGTTAATTCTCTTGCAATAGAAATTTATACCATAAACAAGTTTCCCTCACCAATGTAATATAGGCCACAGAGGCAAAAACTGTCCTAGACCACTAGAAGTCATCTAGAAAATCAAAGTACTGTTTCTCAACTTTGTTCCATGTATGACTCATTTATAGAACTTTTAAAAAATGAGAAGAATCTCTGGTTTCAGCTTCCAGCATTCTGACTTAATTGATGTAGAGTGGGGCTCAGGCATTGGGATTTTTTTCTTGGTGATTTTTTTACTTTTCTTTTCTTTTTTTTCATTGAAGTATATTTGATTTAAAATTTTGTGTTACTTTCTGGTGTACAGCAAAGTGACTCCATTTTACATGTATATGCATATATTTTTCATATTCTTTTCCATTATGGTTAATTACATGATATTGAATATAGTTTCCTGTGCTATACAATTATACAGTAAGACCTTGTTGTTTATCTATTTTGTATATGGTGGTTTGTATCTGCTAATCTCAAACTCCTAATTTATCCCTCCCCAACCCTCTTTCCCCTTTGGTAACCATAAGTCTGTTTTCTATATCTGTGAGTCTGTTTCTGTTTTGTAAATAAGTTCATTTGTATCATATTTTAGATTCCACATATAAATGATATCATATGGTATTTTCTTTTTCTGTCTAACTTAACTTCAGTTAGTATAATAATCTCTAGGTCTACCCATGTTGCTGCAAATGGCATTGTTTCATTCTTTTTTATGGCTGAGTAGTATTCCATTGTATATTTATACCATACCTTCTTTATCCATTCATCTGTCAATGGAAAATTAGGTTTCTTCCATGTCTTGACTATTGTAAATAGCACTCCTATGAACCTTGGGATGTATGTATCTTTCTGAATTATAGTTTCCTCTGAATATATGCCCAAGAATGAGATTGCTAGATCACATGGTAACTGTATTTTTAGTTTTTAAAGAAAACTTCATACTGTTTTCCATTGTGGCTGCACCAATTTACATTCCCACTCAGTGTAAGAGGGTTCCCTTTTCTCCATACCCTCTCCAGTGTTTGTTATTTGTAGA